GAAGACAGGAAGTGCAAGAAGGAGACAGGAAGGGGAGGGGAAAGGGAAGAAATGCATGAGGGAAGAAATGCATGAGGGAAGAAATGCATGAGGGAAGAAATGCATGAGGAAGAAATGCATGAGGGAGACAGGAAGTAGAGGGGAAAGACAGAAGAGTAATAAGGGAAGGAGTGTGCCAGAAAGCAGGAAATGCACAAGGGAGACAGGAAGTGCATGAGACAGGAAGTGCAGGGAGGAGACAGGAAGTGGAGGGGGAAAGACAGGAAACGGGTGGGGAAAGACAGGAAGTGCATGAGGGAGACAGGAAGTACATGAGGGAGACAGGAAATGGAGGGGGAAAGACAGGAACTGCATGAGGGAGACAGGAAGTACATGAGGGAGACAGGAAGTGGAGGGGGAAAGACAGGAAGTGCATGAGGGGGATAGGAAGTGCATGGGGAAATTGGCAGGGATTGTCTTGAGGGGACAGGAAGTACTCCGGAACAAGACACTTGGACAGACATCCAGGGGTAGAATGGCCCTACAGGCTGGAGGGAAGGTGGGAATTCTTGAGAGACTGCAGACCAGGAAGAGACCCTAACCTCTGACTCTATTGCCATCCTCCAGGAAATCCGGGAGGTGGGAGACTGGCGCAAGAACATCGATGCACTGAGTGGAATGGAAGGCCGCAAGAAAAAGTTTGAGGGCTGAGCCTTCCTGCCTGCTGCCCCGGCCCTGAGGAGGGCCCTGAGGAATAAAGCTTCTCTCAGAGCTGAAAGTGATTGCATGTTTATTACCCAGGGCTTAGGCATGAAAGAGATGGGAAAACTGAGCGCAGGGCTCCCCCAAAGCTACACAGTAGGTCGGGGATTGGATGGGTCTCCCATGTGGAGCACTCTTGGCTCTGTTATGGAAAAGAATCCCAGGGATCATGAATTTGGAAAAGAGCTTTTTTGTTTGTTTGAGATGGAGCCTCACTCTGTCGCCCAGGCTGGAGTGTGCAATGGCGCAATCTCGGCTCACTGCAACGTCTGCCTCCTGGGTTCAAGCAATTCTCTTGCCTTGGCCTCCCAAGTAACTGGAACTACAGGCGCCACTGTACCCAGCTAATATATATATATATATATATATATATATGTGTGTGTGTGTGTGTGTGTGTGTGTGTGTGTGTGTGTGTGTGTATATTCAGTAGAGACAAGGTTTCACCATCTTGGTCAGGCTGGTCTTGAAACCCTAACCTTGTGATCCACCTGCTTTGGCCTCCCAAAGTGCTGGGATTATAGGCATGAGCCACCACACCCGGCAAGAGCTTTGTTTCTTAAGAAGCGGATCACAACCTGCAGGCTGGAATCATGGCCTCGTGCCAAAAACCAAAAGCAGGTGCTTTAAGGGAGGGAAGGGCAAGGTGGGAATTTATGCTGAGTAGGGTTGGCTAAGTGCATGTATTCAACTGGTTATAGAAGGAGCTATGAATATTCATGGATGGGTGGACGCATGTATGTGTGACAAGGAAACATGCTTTTTTTTTTTTTTTTTTTGAGATGGAGTCTTGCTCTGTCACCCAGCCTGGAGTGCAGTGGCACAGTCTCAGATCACTGCAACCTCTGCCTCCGGAGTTCAAGCCATTCTTCTGCCTTAGCCTCCCCAATAGCTGGGATTACAGGTGTGTGCCACCATGCCTGGCTAAGTTTTATACTTTTAGTAGAGACGGGGTTTCACCATGTTGGCCAAGCTAGTCTCGAGTTCCTGGCCTCATGATCTGCCCCCGTCGGCCTCCCAAAGTGCTGGGATTACAGGCATGAGCTGCTTGGCCGAGCTGTAAACAGGCATTTTACATGCATCCCATATTCACTTTGCAGTGGAGCCTTAACATTTCAGTGCATTACACTGAATGCATTCATGTCAAAACATGAAGCAGGGACATGAAGGTACTCAGCACACAGCTTCTGTCAACAGCCAGAATGAGTCCATGGTCCATGGCATCTTATTGGGAGAGAGTCACTGAAATCGGTCTCTTGTTCAATGGATGCTGCAGTTATGCCTTGTGGAACAGGGGTTCAGTTAGTTAGCATCTGGCATTGGATGGCTGCGATTGTAATACTGCTTATCTTGAAGGCTTGTTTAGTTGCTAGAAAGAGGAAAAGCCTTGTGACAATTAGAACATAGTTTATTATAAGAGTGGGGATGCGTGACTTAGCCCTTGCGTGTCATGGCCTTAGGTCTTGTTTATAATTTGGAATCTTATTGCCACAAATAGTTCATTCCATCAGCTTCTGATCTGTATTGTCACAGCTACTTTGGCCTTTGTGGCGCGCACAGAGATGTCAAGACTAAAGCTCAAAGAGAGAGACACACAGAGAAACAGGCAGAGAGGCAGTGGCAACCGAGAGACTGAGTTAGGAGTTCAGAGAGGAGCCGCCAGACAGAGACCCAAAGAGAGGGGGAAAAACCACAGAGGCATAGAAGGAAGTGCAAAGAAGGGGGAAAAGAGAGACCGAGGTATACTCACAGCAAGGTGCAGAGACATGGAGACCCTATAAGAGACGGAAATGGAGAGCCAGAGAGAACTGCGGGCACTAAGGGAGACATGGAGAGACCTAGAAAGGTAGAGATGTGAACACAGACACAGAGACCCAGAGCCAAAAAGGAGACGGAAATGTAGAGAAATGTAGGGTCCAGCCCTACTAGGGTCGTGGGGTGTCCCCTATCACTGTGCCAAGGCGCTGGATCTGAGAAATAAAGAGGACACCAAAGGACTGGGTAAAGGCAGCTGGGCTCAGGGGTGGAGTCAGGCAAGGCCCTGAGTGTCCAGGCGCATCTGTATTTATTAGGTACAAGATGGGGGGGGAGGGTAGTGAGTGAGGTCATCTTAAGGATAGTGACAGGGTCAAGACAATCACGTGCACAATAAGCAAACGGTCCACCCCCATTAGGTCACCGACACAAGGAGGTGGTCAGTGTGCAGCAAGGGGTCGACCCCTAAGGAGGTGGGCAGTGTGCAGTAAGGAGGGTGCAGTGTGCAACACGTCTTATCTAAGGGCAGGCTACTTCTAAGAATTTCTATAGGAGGATGCTCTGAGTCAGCACAGTAGCAACACAGCCTACAGGATCTACAGCCACCTGCTGCTGCTACTAAGGATTTCTTTTTTTTTTTTTTTTTTTTTT